GCCTGCCTCTTATACCTTTCTAGAAATAACAATTGATGACATTTTGCTGTAGAGCTCCAGGTATTTAAAAATTTTTAATTAACACAAATGTACATGCAGCAAGCCTCCCTATTGGGATTCTCTCTGTTGCTCTTATTCCCTCCCAGAAGCAGCATCGTCTTCCATATGATAGTTTCCCTGCTGCATTGTTTATCTATCTATCTATCTATCTATCTATCTATCTATCTATCTATCTATCTATCTATGTGTATCAACCCAAGCCCACTGTTGTAGAGTCAATTTTAACCTGAAGCACCCTTATATAAGATTTCTGAGACTGAAAATCTTCAAAGAAGCTGAAACCCTCATCTTTTTATTGCAGAGTGGCTGGTAGGTTTAAAGTGCAAAACTTGAATTTAGCAGCCTAACCTATAACTCACTACACTGCCAGGACTCCAGATAGATAGAAAAAGGCAGGTAGGTAATAAGGTAGGTAGTTAGGTAGGTAGGTGGGTAGGTAGGTAGGTAGAAAGAGAAATAGATAATAGAGAGTCAAAAGTTTAAAGTGGTACATAGATTTTAGCAGGCAACACCTATAATGATTATTAGGGAATACATAAAAAACTGTGGTGTAATATCGCAGAATATTGTATATTATCATGGAAAGTTATATTATAATTAAAATTAATAAAACAGAACTAAATGTATCAACATTCATTGAAAAATTGTTAATGAAATCAACTGTAAATTTACATATATAGTATGATTATGCTTATATAAAGCTTCAAAAATGCAAGAGGGAGAAGAACAATAAATGTAGGCAGTCATTCAGGGAGGGGAGGGGGAGCTGGGCAAAGCAAGGAGAGTTGAAAAGTCATTGACATTGTTGAATTCCACAATGATCTGACATATAAACCTCCACCTAATTCACACAAAAAAGTTTTTAAAGCACAAACATATGCAACTTTACAGAAGAATTTAATAAATATATCAAAAATGCAGGGGCATGTGATGTGAAGTTTCTGTAGTGTTCAACCCTGAGGAAGAAATAGTCAACAATGAGCAAAATGCATAAAGTGGGTAGCAACAAATATACTTTTATTATTTTGTTGCAATAAAATTCTCTACAGCATGGATGGTGAAATGTGTGAACTGATAGCATTGACTAGTGTATCCCCAGCCATTTTTGCCTCTCCCTCTACTTTTCATTATGCTTGAAATACACAGAATAGAAAAAAGAAGGAAAAAATCCTAATTGTTCTAGGTTTTGAAAAATTACTTAATTTTTCACGTTGTAGAATTGTTATCATAAATTTTCCCCACACAATTTTTACAGGTTCATCTGACCCCAATTTATTTATTTCCATTGACATGTATGTTTCATCTGCCCATGCTATGTTTAATTCCAGGTTCTTTTCTACATGCTCGAACTCCTGGTGGGGGTTTCTGTTGCTTCTATTGCTTCCCTGAAGACTGCAGTGAAGGTGCTAAGGATGTTCGCTGTTTCTCTCTTCCTTCAGGTGCCCCATACATTTCCTCTACCCTCAGAAAAAAGATGACACCTGTGTATTGCTCATGACAAGGATCCCTGGTGGGCTACAAATTGGGTTACTAACTACATGGTCAGCAATTCCAAACCATCATCTACTTCGCAGTCGACCGATAAGACATTCTAAGCTCCTAAAGATTTACAGTTCCTTCAGTTCAGAGGGGGCAGTTCTACTCTGTCCTATAAACAACGACTCGGTACCATATAGTCAATTCTGACTCATGGCAGCCCTATGGGGCAGGGTAGAACTGACCCTGTGAATTTCTGGGACTGTAACTCACTGCGGGAGTAGAAAGCCCACTCTTTCTCAGAAGAAGCATCCAGTGGTCTCAATTGCTGATCTTGCTGTTGGCAGCCCAGCAGGTACGCCACCAGGGCTCCCATAGTCACTAGGGTTAGAATTGATTCAATGACAGAACGTTTTTTGTTTAGTTGTACGGATTTTGCTATTTATGACGTGCACACAAATGCACAGTAGGGCTCTTTTAGTTAGGGTCCAATGTACTAAGCACTCTACACGCTGTTTTTTCCCCTAATAATTTCTAATTATTCCAAGACCTATATAAGGTTTTTTATTTTATTTTATTCAGTGTAGAAAGATGAGGCTTTCTATGATTGTGAAGGTATACAGTCTTGTTAACCCACACGGTGCAGTTCTACTCCGTCCTATAAGGTTACACAAAACTCACTCCCATTGAGTTGATGCTGAGGTATAGTGACCCTATAGAACAGAGCAGACCTGTCCCAGTGGGTTTCAGAGACAGTAACTCTTTATGGGAATAGAAAGCTCCCTCGTTTCCCCCAGAGCAGGTGGTGGCTTTCAATTGTTGATCTTGCAGTTAGCTGATCAATGACTAATCATTATGAGACCAGAACTTCCACAAGGTCACTAGAAGTCCTCATTGATTCAATGACAGTGAGGTTTTTTTCTTTTGTTTGTTTTTCTGGTTGTTTCTTTTCTTGTTTTTGCTATTATAACTCACACACAAATGCACAATAGGACTGTTTTTGTTAGGGTCCCATACCCTATGCACTGAATAGGTTGTTTGTTTTCCTAATAATTTCTAATCATTGAAAGGCGTCTGTAAAGTTAACAATTTTATTATGCTGAAAATATACACAACATTGTGATAAGAGCTGTAAGAGCCTCCAATAAAATGATTAAAAAGACAAGAAAATATATGGAACAAAACATTCAGAAATTCAACAAATCCCCTTCGGGGATATAGTTATGTTCAAGTTGTGTGGCCATTCTTGATATCAATTTTCAAATACTTTCACCACTTAGAAAATACATTGTGTCTTCTAAACATAATTCCTTCTTTCCACTTCCCTCCCTTCACTATTGTTATTAGCGTGGTGTCTGAGTAGTTCCTGCTGGTAACAAACCTAACTACAACAAAACAAAACAAAACTCTGCCTCGTTCTTGTCAGGTTCACAATGGTTCCTAGCTCAGGCCCATTGTTGCAGCCATGTGGTGATTCGTGTCACTGAGGGTCTTAGCCTTTGTGCTGACCCTCTACTTTTGTGAACAGAAAGGACAAGTCCAAAGTATATAATCAGTCTTTAAAAAAAAATCATTTTATTGGGGACTCATACATCTCTTATCACAATCCATAAGTCCATCCATTGTGTCAAGCACATTTGTACATTTGTTGTCATCATCATTCTCAAAGCATTTGCTTTCTGTGTGAGCCCTTGATATCAACTCCTTATTTTTCCCCTCCCACCCCCCCTTCCCTTATGAACCCTTGAGAATTTATAAAGTTTTATTATTTTGTCATATCTTACACTGTCCCACGTCTCCCTACACTCACTTTTCTAAGAAGTTTTAACATCCTCACGTCTAAGGAGAATTCTTGTTCTACTCCTTTGAAGATTTTCATTCTTCTGGCAGTCAATGGTGGGTTTATTACTAAGGCTAATACTATATATAAAAGCATCACTTCTCCTACAGCATTCCTTACTCATTCTCCAACTTCACATGCATATGAGGTATCACTTAAAAGTGATATCTGTGCTTTTTCACTCTTTAGAGAGACCTTTCACAGCAAATTGCCTGATTCAATATGTATATCCTTTGATGTTTTGACTGTGGCTTTGATGGGTGTTGATTTCAAATCAAAGTAACATCAAATCCCTGACAATGTCCATTTTTTCTGTATATATTATAATGTTCCAATTTGTCTAGTTATGAGGTTTATTTGCTTCTCGTTAAATTATACATTTTTTCATTTTTATCAAGGTATAATATAGAAGGCTGTGTTTGGATATTCATAAATAATTGCTTCACATCCTTTTCACTTTAAGCAAACGGTTATGATATTTGAAAATTATGGCTGTTAGTAAACAATGCTGTCTAAACTTGATGTCGTGCTCTTTTTCTTATTTTAGTCGAGCTTTTCAGCCAATTTTCCCAGCATACATATTGAATAAATGAAGCCAACTCAGCTTTTGAAGAAGCAGCTCTTCCCCAAATGTGTTTTGGGTGCCTTCCAACTGGAAGGGATCACTTTCCGGCACTTTATCAGACAGTGTTCTGTGTTTTTTGTTGTTGTTTTTTTTAATGTCTCTCCGAAGAGTTTTTTTTTTTTTTTTCCAGAAGTCGAATGTCAGCTACTACCTCTGTCTTTATCTGGAAGCTCTGTTGAAACATGTCCACCATGGGTGCCCCTGCTTCTATTTGAAATATCCATGGAATAACTTCCAGGATGCTATGCCATCAAAGTATGCCAGACTAACAAATGATAACTGATACATAATGAGAGACTTCAGAATTTAATTGATTCAGTTCTCTGCCTTCTCTTATAATAATGCAGGTAGGTGACATGCTTCCATGAGGATTTTTTTTTTTGAATTTCAGATTTATAGAAGATTTTTGTCTTCATCTCAGATCAATGTGAACCTGGATGGATATCATTCACCAACTACATACTGATTTTGTTGGCAGAGATAGAAATATCCAGAAGAAAACATTTCATTCAGAAGAATTGAAGGACATTTATTAAACCTGAGTGACTAATGAGGGGTGTTAATGGTGCTATATAAATAAATATTGACAGAGATAATTCAGGAGAATCAACACAGCAGTCACATAATCTGACTAGTGGAAATCACTATTATCATTCACTTTACACCTTGTGTCTACTGTGCTTCATCTTTCTTCAATGTACTGCTAGGTTTGCAGGCAGTATGAACTAACATATTCATGAGACCTTAGAAGGATTCTAAGCATTACACAGTCTGATTACCAACACTATAAAAACAGATTCCATCATTTTGTTCATTTGAAGACACGGAATAATTCTGAAGGACAGAAGAGCACATCTTATTGTTTACTCCATCTTCCCACCTTGGTACAATGTGTAAACTACTGGAGTTGGTACCAAGAAGCCATATTTCAAACAATACCCCAGGTGTTATTGCTGGTAGTCAGGATCCACATGTTTGATTATCTGTCATCGCATCTTTTCCATACGATTCACCAACATGGAACACAGAAACCATACAAGTGTTTCAGATTTCCTTCTTCTGGGTCTCACCGAGGATCCAGAAATGCAGCCTCTCTTCTTTACCCTGTTTCTGTTCGTGTACCTCCTCATTCTCTTGGGCAATCTACTCATTGTTCTGGCTGTCAGCTCTGATTCCCACCTCCACACACCCATGTATTTCTTTCTTTCTAATCTCTCCTTCACTGACATCTGTTTCAGCACAACCATAATCCCAAAGATGCTGGCAAACATCAAAGCTCAGAATCAACGCATCACATACACAGGATGTCTCACACAGGTCTGCTCTTTCCTGGTTTTTGCTGGTTTGGAAAATTTTCTCCTTACAGTAATGGCCTATGACCGCTATGTGGCTATCTGTCATCCACTGAGGTACACTATTATCATGAGCCCTACCCTCTGTGGCTCGCTCTCCCTACTCTCCTTGTTCATGAGCCTTATGAATGCACTACTTCAGAGTCTGATGGTCTTGCGCCTGTCCTTCTGCACAGACTTGGAAATCCCTAACTTCTTCTGTGAACTTGCTTTAGTTCTCAAACTTGCCTGTTCTGATACCCTCATCAATTATATCCTGGCATATTTGGTGGCTACTGTATTTTTTGTTGTTCCTCTCTCAGGAATCATTTTTTCTTACACTCGGATTGTTAACGCTGTTTTGAAAATTCCGTCAGCCAGTGGTATGTATAAAGTGTTTTCCACATGTGGCTCTCACCTGTCCATTGTATCCTTATTTTATGGGACAGGCTTTGGTGTGTACATCAGTTCTGCATTTGCACACTCACCCAGGAAGATCGCAGTAGCTTCCTTGATGTACAGTGTGGTTCCTCAAATAATGAACCCTTTTATCTACAGCCTAAGGAACAGGGACATGAAGGAAGCCCTGAGGAAAGTCATCAGTAAGATAAGGTCAGTAGGATAAGATTAGTTACTGTGGTTTGTGTTTTTCCCTTGGGATTTTTGGATGCATCAAAGTGGAAGAAATATAGCTGCCCTTGGGTGCTGTATTGTTTGATTAGCAAGTTCTTATCAAATGACTAGATAGCATAATGGCTACATACAGTTTTTTTCAATAATAGACATAAAATAAAATTTCAAGAATTTCATTTTACTTTGGCCTACAATCAATGTCCATGGAAGCAGCATTCAAGATATCAGTGTATTGCATTGTATTGAGCAACTTTGCTGCCAAACAACAAGAATCCTTTTCAAAGTGCTAAAAGGAAAACCATGTTATTTCAAGGATTAAATGTGCCAGAATCAAGTCAAGAGATTTTTAATCATGTCATATGCATGTAGAAGCAAGACAATGAATAAGGAAGACCTTATAAAAATTAATTCATTTGAATTATATGTTGGTGAAGAATACTGCATATACCATGGACTTTCAGGAAAATCACAAATTTGCCTTGGTCTAAGTACTACTCTTTAGAACAGCGGTTCTCAACCTGTGGGTCACAACTCTTTTGGGGGGGTAGAACAACGCTTCCACAGGGGTTACCCAATTCATAACAGTAGCGAAATTACAGTTATGAAGTAGCAAAGAAAATAATTTTATGTTTGGGGTGGGGTCATCACAACATGAGGAACTGTATTAAAGGGTCAAAGGATTAGGAAGGTTGAGAACCACTGCTTTAAAAGCAAGGATGGCAAGACTTTGTCTAATGTATTTTGGACATGTTATCAGGAATCACTAATCCTATATAATACTCTTCAAAGTATAAGATCAGTGACAAAGTAAACAAGCGGCCATCTAGCCCAGAAGCAACAAATCCTACATGGAAGCAGCACACCAACATGTGTGATCATGCAGGGCCAAAGGGACCAGGCTTCAAACACAAAAGGCGGGGTGGGGCTGGGGGTGGGGAGTCATATCCTCGTCAATCAGGGTGGCGCGTGTTGGAGACCCAATGCCCATCTCTAGACAACTGGACATACCTTGCAGAGGGATAGTGGGGAGATGAGTCACTTAGGGTTCAGTATAGCAATAATGAAACCTACAACCTTCCTCTAGTTCTTAAACGCTTCCTCTCCCCAGCTACCAGGACCCCAATTCTACCTTGCAGACCTGGTTAGACCAGATGATGCACAGCGGTACAGATGGGAATTGGAAACGCAGGGAATCTAGGATA